GGCAAAAAGAAGGACGCATTTTAAGGCCGCATAACGAGGACACTTGGAATCCGACCAGACCTCGGCGCCGCTCTGACGTAATCGTCCTTTGAATCTGGCCTTCTAAGGACGCGTCCTAGGTTTTCGAACAGAGCAAGAATATAGATAGCATGGCTGTCAGTACGCCAACAACATGCAAAAGTGCAAATGTATGTTTACCGACGATTTACAAAAGCGTTTCCCAGCTTTCAGACCGGGTCGAGACACATTGGAGACTTTGTGCACAGTGTGCAAAGCAGGCACATATGTCTCGGTGTCCAATGGAGGTGCAAGAAATCTGAAAAGCCACACCGAAAGTAAAGATTGTCTATTGATAATGTTTGTTCGTTTTTGGTACATTTTTAGTTATTTTTGCTACACAATAGCCTACAGAACAGACATTATTTCGTTCATTGCTGAGGCAGAGTATGATCTGTTATTGGGAGTTGGGAGTTATTGTTAACTTTTATTGTTAAGTGAGGGATGTTTAGATGAGACATTATTTCTTTCATTGTGCTATTCATTCATTACAGGAATTGTTAAGCATTTTTAATAAATACATTTTTAATAAAATTATCGTTTGTTATTGGAGTTATTGCTGTTGACTTTTACTGAAAAGCATTTTTAATAAATCAACCACAGACATCTCAATGCATGGGAACAGAGATCCCCCCTGCTCCAAGGTGTCCTGGTTTTCCCAAATGAAAATATGGTCACCCTACAATAAACCAAACAGTATCCGCCAAATATCTGACTCAAAAACCATTTAAAAACTATTTTCATTCATTTCAGACATAATTATTTACATACTTGTATATCGAACTGCGCTTACAATCTTCACCACTGTTCGGCACCATTTACCCATTTCGTGTGAGCACGGAGCAAGGGTGTAGGCATAGACATATGTAATGAGTAGACCCCGCATTGACGGTCGCGGCGCAGGAATTACGGCGGCCATCTTGGTACGGTCGAACTTCTATATATATATATATATATATATATATATATATATATATATATATATATATATCTTTTTATGTTAAACTGTAATCATTTCCTCATGTCCGCTCTGACCAATGTAAAACTTAAGAAATATGAAATAAATCTCAAAAATGTTTTGTTGTTATGGTTAGAAATACTTTTACTCTTAGTAGGAAATGTGTTAATTATATTAAAATGTCATATTTTTGTTATTGAAATAGCATGATTTTTCTGTCCATCAATTTCATATTCCACCCTGTCACACCAATGTTATTTTGCGCCAAAATGCAATACACTTCCTAGAAGTGACATTACTAACATGAAGTGACATTATTCAAGAGTTTGAAGAAGAGAAGTCCAAACAGTGGTGAGTTCTGTTTTTTCTTTAGGAACATTTTTGGTACATTTTTCCTTCAAAATCCTTTCTGTTAACCATAGCATATCCACCATGTCACACACAAAAAGTGGGGAAAACAATTTGTTAATCAAATTTTGAAATAATATTTGTATTAATCATTCATTTTTCATTGTACTTCAATGCTAACGGCACCATCGGGTTTTAACATATCCAGAAATTGAGCCATATTGCTTTAGATTTTCCATTGGAATAATTGTGATAGGTGGCAACGTTCTTCATATTGAATTCAGCTGTACATCACATAAAAACATTAAAAAAAAACACTTTGAGCACACTATTGTTTTTTTTAAAGAAAAAGACACTTTCTAAGGTGAATAACATTTTGTTTGTCTTGCTTTTATCTAAATTTCCCCTTTAATTTGTTAACCTTTGTCCTGTGACGGGGTGGAAAAGGAAACTCTGTTCCCTGGATATAATGTGCTAAAATATTTGCAGAAAATGGTGTCTGAGCTTGAAAAATATGTTTTATTGCAAGTGTTACATGTTCTACAGGCTATGAAACTAAAAAAAAGAAAAAAAAAGGTTATGATCAAAAACCTCTAAATTCAGAGGTCCAATCTTTACACTTTCCATGGAATGACCCATGGGCGTAGGTTTGCATAGGGACCATAGGGACATGTCCCTACCAAAATTTTGAACCGACCTAATTGTCCCGAACAATAATTGGATGTGAGCAACATGTTTATAATTTACAGCAGTAGTTGTTGCAGCAGTGGCTTCTTTTCCTCTCGCAGCTCCTCTGCCTGGTCTCTCCTGTCCCTTTCATGTAGCAGCGCATGGAACTGTGCTGCGCTGTTTAACTCCACTCTCATTGGTTGTTCTGCCTTAGGTTCCGCCTTCTCTCTCTCTGATTGGCTGTTTTCTAGTCCGCGTGTGCTTGGAGCACAACATTGAAAATTTATTCACACTAGAATGCTGCGGTTACTACAATTAATATTAGGCTACAAAACTAGTCCCAATAAAAAAAAATGAATATCATGTGCACTAAAAAACAAAAACCTTTTTTTTTCTTTTATAAAGCGAAGTATTCTGAGTCAGCCAGGAGTTCTGAAGACTGCTGGAAAAATGGGCAAATAAAAGGCTGTAAGCCATCAACATTTCTGATTCTTAGCCACCACAGCCAACTAAAAAAGAAGATGTGAGGGTTTCCTTTTTACCGATATTAAGTTGATATTACTGTTTTCATTTTTTTGTTTTTATTTTTACAATTTTGATATAATAACTGATCTAAGTGGGTTGCTCTGTGGGGAAAGGCACATTTTACATTTATATTACTGTATGTTTTAAAGTCTCTATACTCCAGTTAATGATGAATCACTTACTAAATTAGTTGACGATTATTGAAATAATCAATTAATATGATTCATTTTTTTCAGCCCCAAATGAAATACATGAAATTGGCTACACAGAGTAACTACAGCCCAGATGTTCAACTTTTATAGTGAAGTTAATATTTTAATGAATGTATTATTTATGCTTGATACAGAGAGAGAATAGTAGGTACAAATATAAGAGTGGGGTTTAACTCTGCACAATTCTATATCTTCAAAAGAAAATACTGTATTTACCTTCTCTCTTAGTCGTTCAAATGAAACAGTTTTCAAAGTGGAAAACAGTCCTAATTCCACATTCATCAGAGCCGGTGATGCTTCAAACATTGATAAACAGCATCTAATGAGTGTAGAGCTTATAACATTTTTATTAATGGAGCAAAATGTTGCTTTTCTCTTTTAACAATGAATTCCTCTTATCAGTACGGATGCTCACATCGAGCATAAAAAAGGGCATGCATATTGCATAGCACCAATGACACCAGACCAATAGTGTCCCTACCAAAGTTCAAATCAAACCTACGCCCTTGGAATGACCGATATATATATATATATATATATATATATATATATATATATATATATATATATAGAGAGAGAGAGAGAGAGCTGCCGATGCGGGGTCTACTCTTTATAAATGTCTATGGGTGTAGGTACCAGATCTACTTGGGGCCCTGCCCCTTCTTATGACGTCAACGTGTGGCAACTCCATTCGGACAAACTGTATTGCACCTGTTTTAGTATCGAATCTCTTTTTGAGTTTCAACATATAATTACCTATATTAGCCATTATTTTACATTTCATTGCCAATCTATAGCCCAAAGTAGAAAGTCATTGTCAGTCTTGAAGGAAAGTACTGCTTTCTCAGACAGACTGAGCTCTGCCATTTAACAAGGTGACAAAAAAACGTATTTTTATTTTTACTAAGATCTGAGGGCAGGGAAGGACAAATGGAACATCCTAAAAAATGACTCTTGAGATTTTAAACAAATACAACAGTTATTGTTCTTGTAGAAAACAAACGGTTGTTGTTGATATGAATTCAAAAGTAGTGTAGTAGTGCTGACCGAGCTAAAACAGGCTGATCTTGTCGCTACCCGATCCGTACCGGTAGCACGATCCGTACCATCAGCTCATTTGCGCCTGCGCGAACAGAATAACTTCCAGGTCGCCAAAAAATAATGTAATTACGGTACTGAAAAAACTTTATTTATATCCTTAAATAATTAAAGAATACTAAACTACATCGTAAAGACAATATTGAAGACTTTTCTGGAAGAAATGGATGCTTTTTAAATTCAATCCATTGTATTGCTTGATGTCATTTTTTCTGGAATAAAAATCCAAATTTTCGGGAAATGTTCCCTTATCAATGAAAAACTGCAGGTCACGAAAGGTAGCAAATGAATCCATTGTGGGATCAGTACTGCTGGAGTGCATAGTTAAGTACAGAGTAAATCAAATATTTAAAAAAATTTAAATATATACGCTGTGTGACGTATATTTGCGCATGCTCAGAGCAGTCAAAGTAACTATCACAAGGCAATTGAACTTTTTTATGTATTTCTGTTTTTTTATTTTTAGAAAATGCAATATTGACGAAAATACAAAGATATACAAAAAGAAACCCATGCCTCTAAAAAATACAAAAGAATAAAAAAGTAAGAAAAAGGAAATATTTCCACCGGAAGTTATTCTGTTTGCGCACGCGCAAATGAGCTGATGGTACGGATCGTGCTTCCGGTACGGATCGGGTAATGACAGATTTGTTAGCTACTGAGCACAGCTAGCTACAGCGCTACCTAGCTCTCCCCCTTTATATCATGGTCTTGCAGTTACTTTGCTCACCATAAAAAGATTTTTTTTCAGTTTTGTTATCAATCAGATAATGACCTTCATCGGTCATTAAGTCATTATCGTAGTCTGGGCAACCACTTTATCTTACATCATGTGGGAAAGTTCAGCCAATCATGTAGCGTAACGTCATTGGCACGTGCAGGACCTGAGCAGATCTGACCACCTGAACAGATCTAGTTCCTACACCGGCTTCCTGGGACTGGCAATGAATCATGGGATACCCAGGCTACGTAGGATACATAGGCTGCTTTTGTCAGCAGCATAACTGAGTTGAACTGAAAGATCAATGTTATATTTGGCAGCTGAAAATCTCGATATATTGCCAAATCATTTTTTTTCCTCACTCCTAATTTAAATGCATAGTATTCTTCTTAGTGACTCCTAGACTCTTGTGTTCTGATCAAGTGGTTTTTATTAGAAACAGGTGCGGTTAGGCAAGACTATAACAACATAATACAGAATTTAATTAAACTATTCAATATTTGCATTTATTCAAATAAACTATGCATGCATGTATGTTTTTGTAATATCGGAACAGAAAGATAAGCTAGACATTAAAGTTGGGGTGAACCCAACAAATTCAGTGTAAATAAAAAAACATCAAACCAACATATCTGTTCATTTTGGGCAGGGTTGCCAAGAAACATTTTAGCAGAGTTATAAATTGATGCATTTGTTCTGGTTAGATTTTCGACAAACCTGAGTCCAGAGTAACCACAAATAAGCCCAACACTAAACTGACTTATCTTCACGCACTCCCTGCTTACATTAGCCATCTTAGAACTTACTTTCTTACAGTTGAAGAGTCTGAGTAATCATCAGTTCAACACATGTTTAAGAGTAGAGCAACAAGAGGTAAGGCATGCCACATACTCATACCCAACATGCATGTCGGTGTCAGTTAACATGCATGGGCGAGCACAGCAAGGGATGCAGCTGGTATGATTTAGGTTTTCTGTTTAACAGATTCTAACTATTTTTACCGTCTTTTCAGTCAATTCTGATAGACTGTCTGTATAAACCTGAAACTACCTGCTAAGAAAGGTCTGAAAAACGCTGATATTCTGAAGGCAAACAGACTTTTTGCCATCATCCATAACAGTGCAACAAGAGTCTGCTTGTATTTGGCAAAGATTGGCTCTTTGGATTCCGGTGAACTGTGCTTCAATCAAGTAATCTGTGCTGCCGAAATGCATGCAGATCCCGGAAAGGCTAAAGCATAGGTAGAAAAATAAGTCACTGGTTAAAAGAGTCACATAGCACAACAGGCTAAAGGAAGTTGGCATTGTGAGGCGCTGATCAGCAGAGCTACAGTGACACATGCCTGATAGTTTTTAGCTTGGAGGTAGTGGAGCCCAAAAAGTACATAAGTCCTTCAACACTAATAGTGCAATGTAATTCATGTTAGCTCCTGGTGCTGTGGATCTTGCGGCCAAAGTAGTCTGGTGCTGCATCCAGCAGCCAGTCTGGGTCCACCAAACACAAGTCTCTCATGTAACAGCGGGACGTGTGCAGCAGCTCGTTGAACACCACGTATGCTGGCTTGGCCTGGAAGAGGACGGAGGATGGGTGGATGGCGACTGGTTGCTTGGTGTCCAGAGCCAGGTAGCTTCCATCAGGCTGCAGCTCGGCAGCATTGGTGAACATCCCGTGGGCGAGGCAGCAGCGGACATTACCCGTATCTGCCCCACCCGACTCCAGCTTCAGGTTCAGCTGGGAAAACAGGAACTTAAGTTAAGCATGGTGTTCAAGTATTTGTTCTAATAATTCAAAATAACACAATTTTTTCTAGACAACTGGTCTATCATCAGAGTTAGAGATAACTCTTTGATGATAGACTTTGGGGAGGTGGTGGCCTAAAGTTGAGTGCAGCTCCTGAGGGCCAGTATCCTGCAATTTTTAGATGTGCCTTTGGTTCAACACACCTGAATCAAATAATTTTGAATCAAATAGTTTTGTGTCATTTGGAGCTGTTCTGAAGACATTCGGTAAGGTTATATCCAACGAGTTTAAAGCACAAACTAAACTGTTCATAATCATTTATGGTACGCCAGCATTCATAACATGTAGGCAAATCACTGTCCCCCCAGACATCCGCGATTATATATTTTTTGTATTTATATTTTTTTTTAAACGAAGCAGTGTGTATGACGTCATCCCCGCCGTTAGGCTAGCTAATCTGAATCTTTCAATTCCATTTCGAGAGTGAGCTCATGGTAGTAGCACTAGACATCTTCCTGTTATGTAAGTAAAACTAGCAGCAGTTCAGCGGACAGGATGAATAAATGGTAGCCGGTGCGCGGATATGATTGAAGGATATGAAGGATTTCTCTCTAGATTGGTTTCAGTGAAACAACTGAAAAGTAGAATCTTGTTTTTACAGATTTGTACCTTCAGACAGATTTCCCTGAGCTGAGCCTGGACATCTTTCACCAGACTCATATTCCTGCTGTTGACAAAGTTTTCCCGACACCACTCCTACAACAACAAACATTTGCAGCGGGTTAGCAGCAGGCTTTCCGAATCCTTCAGGGCACCCCCCCCCCCCACCACCATCCTCACCTTGTTCCCACCAACTTTTTTAAAAGCTCTGTAGATGTTGAGCAGTGTCATGTGGTCTCCCTCGCTGGAGATAAACTTCTTGCGTGCCGCGAGCACCTCATCCCGCCGGGCAGGTGGGTTGTACAGAACAGTGTCCACTGAGAGCAGAGACACAATGCTGAGGATCTCCTCAGAACAAGAGAAGTCCGGGGACAGCAGGATGGTCTGTGACGAAGCAAAACGCATGATAAAATGGTCAAAGGTACTTTTTAGTGCATATGATGCCTTGGTTTATGCTACTTGTTGGAAGTTTTTTATGGAGTACAAGATCCACACACAGCACGGTTCACCCAAGCACACAAGAGCCACACATGCACAGAACAAGATTCCTCGTCATAATTTTTTTAGCAAGGAATGGTTTGCCACCATTCACAAAGCTCTCTTGTATAAGCCACCCACAAGAAAGTACTCCTACACAAAAGGCATTTGTGTATCGAGGCACCTCAGAGCAATCTCAAGAATCCACACTCAAAAGACCACTGGTACTTTGTAATTTCATTTAGTATTTTTATGGAACAGAAATACTTTGGTAAATCTTGTTCTGTGCATGTGTGAATCATGTTCTGTGCATGTATGAATCCCATATGCGTATTTGTCAAACTTGAGACAGATCGTGCTCCATAGTTTTTGAATAACCAAATTTACACTAAAGGCAAAATGCACCTTGGCATATCTAGGCTCCAATGGGAAGCTGGCCATTTTCTTGCCCAGAGTGGTGAGGATAACCTGCCCATCCTTCCTCTCTACAGCTCCCAGCAGCTCCAGATGCTCCACAGCAGAGCGGATGGCCTCTAGGTAAAATAAAGTTCCACAGAGGAAGAAAAGATGAACAGGAAGAGATTTAAAAAAAAAAGAAAAAAAAGAAGCATCTTACCTAGAGAGGGTTTGGACATGAAATCAAAATTCATCACATCAGGGATGCCCAGCGCCATCAGCTGCAGCATCACACTGGCCAAGTTACACCTGCAGGACACAAACACACACATTTAGAGAGAAGCAGCAGTAAGAAAACCTCTTCAGTCGCTCTGACCTGAGAGGTTCAAGCAGAAACCTCACACCTCTGGATCTCAGGCACCGTCATGGGGATGAGGCTGTCGAATTCCTGTTCGGTGTAAAGGCGATAGCAGAAGCCGGCGTCCTCCCTGCCAGAGCGGCCGGCCCGCTGCCACGCCTGAGCCTTGGAAACGCGCTGAACGGCCAGCACCTCCAAACCGCTGTCTTAGGGGCAAAACACAGCAGGTTATGTCATCTGAGCATTAGATACTGACACTGGAAAATGTTCAACCAAATCCTTCTGATGAGATCTTAAAGAGGAAGAAAATATTTGGCAGTGTTGAATTGTAACAGGATATAATCCAATATATTTTTAAAGATTTAAAAAGAAAAGGTTTTAGATGCTTCACAAACCCATTAAAAGTGGCAAAGTTCTTGCAAAAATGAAACAAAAACAACAAGATACAAGAAACACATCTCTCTATTGCTGAGCATGAAAAATTGTGCAAAATGGGGTTTAAAAATATGTATTTTCTTTATATTCAAAAAGCAGCTCAAGGGGAGCAGCAATGTTATTATCCAATAGGTTGGATTTTCAGTTCTCACAAATTAAAGACAAAGTAGGACAGTACTGATTAAAGGATACATAGATCATAAAGAGGTCAACTTAATGAATGTGTACAGACCACCCGGAAATAATTAACAGCTTATTAGGAAAGTTTTTTGACACAATTGCAACAGAAGCATCTGGAATATTGATATGCGGGAGAGACTGGAACATCAACTTAAACCCTTTCTCGGGCAAAATTACAAAGGCTAAGAAAGAAGCAATATATATTTAAAAAATCCTTAAAGAATTAACGTTGATGGATGTATGGAGGACCTTAGGCCCTGGAGACAAAAAATACTTTCTTTCTTACTCCCATCAGATGCATTCAAGGTTAGACTATTTCTTTATACAAAATGTTGATAAATATAGAATAATAAAGAATACTAAAGAAAACCTGTGGAGGCTTAATAATAATTTACTAAATGATACTAAATGTGAGAGCTTTGTAGAAAAAAAATTTCAAGACTATATAGACCCCAACAACACAGAGGATATTTCTCCCTGTATTTTATCGGACAATTGAAAACTGTTATCAGGGGGAAGTTAATTATGTCGTCCTCCCATAAGAAAAAAGAGAAAAGTTTGAAAGACCTTACAGCAAAACTAAAAGGCTCATCCACGACCTCCGACACAAAACTCTCCTTCTCTTGCATGTTTCCGCTGTCCATAGCGGTCCTTGACAGAGTTGTTGCTAAATGCTACTTAGTCCCAATGTAATTTCCCATTGGGAACCTACTAGCACTAAGTTGCTAACTGGTTAGCAAGATGCTTCCGAGAAACCGGCAACAATCAAACTTGCTTGCAGACCTTCCACAAAAACAATTGATAAACGACCAATCACGTTCACTTTATTCACTCGGGAGAATTCGGAAATGACTTTACAATTATTTTACATTTAGCTATTTATTCTATTGAGGACCACAGTTTCCTCATTGAAATCAATAAATAAATTATAAAGACCCTCAAACTTGGTCAGTCATTCAATTCCTTTGTACCAGGGGTCTACACCTTTAAAATTCAAAAAGCAGTTTTTGCCTGAGTCCAGCTGAGAGAAAGTGGTCTAGAACCGTCAATAATATATACCTTTGAATAAAACACAACTCATTATTTTTGTTATAGATATGATGAAGGAAATCTTTTGCCATTTATAAAAAACAACAGTTTATTTGTTTTTTAGCTTATAAATAAATAAATAAAAAAGTTTCATAAGGATGGAGAAGGGATTTTTTTCTATAGGGTATTATTTGTTGTAACATATTTTTCAAGCTAGCAAAAACGAACATCTATTAACATATTTATTGTACTATTATCCTGCCTGTCTTAGAAATTAGATAATATACAGTTTTTAAAAACCCTAAAGCTTCGATGACTGGTTCTTAATATTATGCTGCATAAGTTGGTTCTTTACTATTTTAGGCCCAAGTAGAGGCCATTGGAGAGATTCCACAGCCTGCAGACCTCAGATTTGCACCATGCTCCCCTGCAGTTACACTTGGCCACCTCTAGAGGGGGCACCACCCCAAGTTTAGGAACCACCGATTCAAGCAAAGAAACAAACCAGCATCTTATTTCTCTATATTTCTTTAAGAAATAATATTAAAACAGACACACATCAGTTATTATTTTTACACAATACACTTATCAATTTGCCAACACCTCCACATATCAGCAGATGCATATAAAGGAAAGAAACACTGAAATCGGCCAGCTGATGTATCGGTACATCTCTACTAAAAATACACTCAGCTTTCTGACTGTAGGCAGTAAAAGGAAGAGAAGAGCAGATACTTTTAAATGTCCGAGAGAGGAAAGACAACAACTGATGGAAATAAAATGAGCTGATTTAATGGTGTAAGATCCAAAAACTCAATGACACAGTATGACAAGCAGAAACGACTGACTGAAACCTCTCACCAGGGTTGAAACGCTTGGCCTTCACCATCCCAGTGTCGATGACGTATTTGATCCCAGAGATTGTGACTGATGTTTCTGCAATATTGGTGGCGAGGATGACCTTCCTGCAGCCCTGTACCGTAAGACAAGACAGAAGGAGGTTACAACAAGGACTGTACCAATGAGTGTTTACATGTCCTGTTTGTTTAACCTTAGGCGCCGGCTGGAAGACCCTGAGCTGCAGAGCTGGAGGCAATGACGCGTACAGGGCCATAACCACCATGGGACCACAGCTATCAGGAAGATGCTTGGCGATGTCTCTGCATGTCCTCGCCAGAGCCTCGATCTCCTCCTGGCCCGTCAGGAACACTAAGATGTCATGGGACTGTGGTGCTTCCTATGAGGAAGCAACAAGGACAGCTTGTCAGAAGGAATAAGCCAACAGCACCTTCTAACTAACCCCGTCTCTATAAAATTGAGGGAAACTGCCAGAAGTCCTGCTTCCTTATTTTTACCCCATCCTATACATTTCAAAGTATTTCTCCATCAATTATCAAAGACAACCTGGTGGATTTGGAAGATGGAAACAAGTGCAGCCTGCAGATAGTCCGACTGGGGCTGCTTGGTGTAGTAGATCTGAATAGGGTGCTGCCTCCCCTCCAGGTACAACACCGGCGACTTGTTGAAGTACTCCGAGAACAAATCCACGTCCATGGTGGCAGACATCACAATGACCTGCAGAGGAGCTGCTTTAATCAGAAGCAGTGAACAGGTATGAACAAAAAGGTGTGTTTCCTACTCCCCTCACCTTCAGGGGAACCTTGTTTAACTCCCTCCGCCTGCGCTGAGCGCTCTTCACCACGCCAAAGAGAACATCGGTCTGCACGGTGCGCTCGTGAGCCTCATCCAGGATCACCACGGTGTAACGCAGAAGCAAGGGGTCTCCGATGGCCTCACGCAGGAGCATCCCATCCGTCATGAACTTTAGCTTGGTCTCAGGTGAAGTGACGTCTTCAAAACGCACTGTGTAGCCCACCTAAAAGAGGAGAAATGTAACAGTACAGAGGCTAGCAAAGGTATTCATAACCTTTGAACCTTTTCATATTCATACTTATAAAACCAGATGGTTATAAAGGATAATAAATGGTATCAGTCTGATTTATTTTTTATTAAAATATAATAGGTTTGGTTTAGCAAAGATTTAGATTCATGCCCCAGTTTGTTTTTCAATTCTCTACCAGCTTTGGACAAACACTTTCCCTCTCTTGGAAAATCACAATTAAATATACTTTCTGAGCCCTTCGCTCACATTTCTTTCTGAACTTTGACTAGGCCCCTCAAACACAAGAATAAACTTTGATCTAATCTGTAGATGATGCTGTAATGGACATCATCCTGGGAGAAGGTGAACCAGTGGAAGGTGAAGCAGTTATCTTCCAGGCTCATATTTAGTGGACTCCATCCACCTGACTGAAGAGATTATAACAGAGCAAAGAGCAGATATACTTTAACTGGAGGTTGACCGATACGTCGAGGGATATTTTTGGCCGATATTAACTGGTTTTTTTCTCTCGTGTTGGGATTGGAAGGTATCTGCATGGGTTCTGATACATTAGCGTCTTCAGGAGCCATACCTCGTGATCATGAGAGGTGCTTGCTGCTCCCTACATTTCTTATCCATTCTTAATGTATTTATTGTATATTTTTAAGTAATTAGTTTAACATTTTAACTGACTTGTCAACCTCCAACCTGCATTAATGCTGAGCAAATGGTCTCACATTTGGTTGACCAGGCAGTTAGAGATGACAGAATTCAGTTCCATTAATGTTGCAAGAACAGAACATGTTTTGTAAATGGAAATCTGGAAAGAAAAAAAGCATCCCATTTTGCCTGGTCAACCAAATGTGTCTTTGCTCCTCACTCCAGAACGAAGTCCGGCCCCAGAAGTGAAGAGAATGTTGACTGTAAAAATCGGGTATTTTTAAAACTTAGTTGAGAAAAAAAAAAGAAGAGATATCTGGGAAGAAATACATTAAAGAAATAGAAATAAAAAAATGTATATGAAGATTTGTTTGAAAAAAATGAAAGCTGAAAAAAATAGTAAAAATGAAATAAATTACAACTTAAAATGAGTCTGACAAAACAGCCTTTTCTAAAATCATTTTGGTATTGTATTTTTTTTTCTATTTCTATTCAGAAGTGTTTAAAACTGAGGTCTTTAACAGGGGTTCCGTGTCCCCTAGGGGGTCTAAGGAGGCACTGCATGGAGGTCGCCAAAGTTTTGGTTGATTAGACTTTTTTTTTTTTTATATTCCCCCCTGCAATTTATTTCCCTCATTGAAATGTATTTAAATTGACATGAATTCAACACACTGTAGTAAATAAATAAATGGAGGCGGAAGATGTCTTTCAGTCATCAATGCACACATTAAACGACACACAGGAGCTCTTTCAAGCTGGGCACCATTTCATTCACAACACCTATCCCATCAATCCGAATCAGAAATCTTTTAATAATCCCAGGGTGAAATTACTTTCGTCACATGACTTCATCTGTAAGAGAGTGACTATATGATTGTTTGATATAACACATTTCAAACCATATATAAAATTAGGGGGTCCCAGCTCCATCTCCCCATCAGTTTGGGGGGTCCTTGGACTGGAAAACATTGAAGACCCCTGGTTTAAAACAATGTCTCTATAGAAACCCAGGTCCCAACTTCAGCAACATGTCAATTCATATGTCAAACCAAAATCATACGGATCTATTACCGTGGCTTTTGACGGATTTTCGTGTTTAGTCATATGGCTGTATGCTTACTCCACAAGTAGTAATCCAGGGTTATATTGATGAAGTGGAAAACAGGAGCGATTAGGTCAGACCTGGGTAGAGAAACGGTTCCTACAGCATAAGGCTAGTTAAATTCAAGAGTTAAATTTAAGACTTTTTAATGCCACTTGGAATAAAAATTTAAGACCAAACTCACAAGAAACACAAGAAAAACCTGCTTGCGATAAACCACTGCACTAATGTTTCAAATTTTGTAAAGCTTCCCATACAGGAAGAAAGCTAAAAACACACAAATGACAGATATATTTTAACAATTATTTAACTGAATTCACAAACTTTGTTTTAGCGGGGAACAAAACAAATCAGTTTTAAAGCCCCAACATAACCAGTGCTAAGTCTTTTTTTGCAGCTATTTTTCTTTGTATCGTTTTCTTAGTATGTTTGGTTTGGTGATAAGTGGAGGCATTGCAGAGACAAGGGTGGAACAAAACTGAGAAATACCGGCTGTTTCTCGGTAACTCGATTTTGACGCTTTGTGTTTCGTGCTTCGCATGTGCGACTCCACTGCCTTAATTCACATCGTTCCGAGCTTGAATGACTTCTTGCACAAAATACACTTTGCCTCATGTATGTCCCCTGGTACTGGTTTTAGCCATGGCTCTTGGCTGGATAGACAATTTTCATTACATTTACAGTTGCAACAACGCTTTTATTGGTTCCGCTATCGGGATGGAACCAATAATGGCGAACCGTTATTTTTTTTTTTAAATAAAAAAAAAAAATTTGTCATTTTTAACATTGTATTTATATTACAAAAATAAATCGTAATAAAAATAATCCTATTTATGATGTTTTAAAAATTTACCTACGAGACTAACTTAGGACATTTTAATACCAATTAAGGCCTTAGTTTTATTTTGAAGAATTCAATGCCTTTTAAGACTTTTTAAGGACCCGTGGGAACCCTGCAGAGAGAACTGTTCAGCGGAACAGATGCAGATATTTCTAAGTAATAATCATGAAGAGCAGTTTTCTGAGAGATGCATCATTACTGGCTCAAGTAATCATAACCAAATATATGGATGAGATCTCGTAATTATTAGATCTTTTCTCATAATCACTAGATAAGATCTTATAATTATGATATCAGTATCTCGTAATTATGAGAAAAGCTGTCTGATTTGTTCCCTTTGGTGAATGCCATTCGCTTCTGAAATCAATTCAACACTTCAGAGAATTATGTGCTGCTTTCAGTTACTGTGTGACATTGGCTATAATGTGACATAAAAAAGTTTTTTAAGGCACTATTATGAATACGGTAAATACCAGCTTCCCAAGCGGAGTCCTCTTCTCCTCTGCCACCCTTCCTGCCAGGGAGATTGCAGCCACCCGGCGCGGCTGGGTGATGGCGATCAAGCCCTGCCTGCCGATGCCATCTTCGAACAGGTACTGAGGGATCTGGGTGGTTTTCCCAGAGCCAGTCTCACCTGAAGGAACAAAGTGGGTCACATTAAAAAGACACACCCACAGAAAATATATCATTCTAATAGGACATCCCATTAACCCTGCCATCCTTTGCAGAAATATTGTCCAACTATAAAAAAGTTTGAAATAAATAAGCATTAAGAATGTGCTTTCTCTGTGTGCAGGGATCTACTATAGTGATGATCCAGCAGCCGTCTGGAGGTATTTACCAATGATGATAGCATTATGAAGCTGCCTCAGCTCGTTCAACAGCCGAGTTCTCGCCTGGTAGATTGGAAGCCGTTTCCTCTGGACGTCAATCGGGGTGATCACATTTCCCTTTCTGGGCAGCAGCATTCCAGGTTTATTCTTCTCCAGGCGGAAAAACACGGACCCCGGCTTGAATTTTTTCGCCGGTGGAGGGTCGGGGTCGTGGGGCATGTTCTAGGGGTGGCGACACTGGTAGGAGAACCTCAGCAGCTTCTTATTTTTAAGAAAACAAATGTTGAAAACTTTCCTCGTGCTCGCTGACTGGACGCGCGAGCGTCAATGCGGATGTTTTGCTAGGTCTGCAGGAACGTCACCACGCGGCGCTGTTAAGCGCATACGTTTGACGTCACTGACTCGCGTCGCACTGTAGTAGTGTTTCTTAGGATACAAGGAGGATTCGAATTAATAAATTTCAATGACTTGAATAACACCTTTAAAATAAAATGGATTAAAGAGTGTCTTAAAAACCCTAATCGAATTAGTTTTTTTTATTCCTAATAATATTTTTTAAAAATTGGGTGGTCTGCACTTTTTACTCACCTGTAATTAAAGTGTTACCAAATTACCTTTAAAACTATCCGAATTTCACCAACAAGCTCTCTTAGCATGAAAACTCTGCTACCTTCGTCCTACTCCCACAACTTTTCTCCTCACAAAGCCTTAATTAGGAATAATGAAGATATTACTATTAGGAAAAAATCTATATTTTTACAGAGCTGGGTTGATAAAAATATCTTTGTATGCAACCTTTTTGACTCTAATGGTATAATGCTAAGTTATGAACATTTCCCTAGACTTAAATCCTTTCCTGTCACATATAAAGAATTGAATTACGTAACTAAGGCTATCACTAGTGGCCTGTCTCTCCTGATCTGAAGTCATTGTCAGTACCATGAAGCACTTAGAATAAAATCCCCTCTAATGATTAATGGTTTTGATGTAACAGACTCAAAATGCAACAACAAACATATACGTAATTGTTTTTACGAAAAGAGAATGATAAAGCCACGAGGAAAAGCATTCTAGGATAACATCTTTATGGTAACTGACTGGAAGAAGGCCTGGCTATTACCTTATAAATACTGTATATCTAATAAGATAAAAGAGATTCATATTAAAATTTTACACACTATATATCCGACAAATTTATATTTTTCTAAATTATCAGATATTGAAAATAAATGCAGTTTTTGTAACATGGTACCAGAAACCTTATCTCATTTATTTTATTGTTGTACTCAATCTACCACTTTCTGGACTCTTCTTGAACAATATATAATGTGTAAACTCAAAACAAACATTGAAATTGACTATAAAAGTGTAATATTTTATTTTGTCCATGGAGACATGAATGCTGCTTTTATTACAAACCTTTTCATGTTGTATGGTACATTTCATATACACAAATGCAAACATTCCAAAACATCCCCCAACTTCAAATGTTTCTTGTTTGAATTTAAAGAATACATGAAAGCCCTTACATTAATTGATTCTAAACAAAGCACCACATCCACAGATATTTTTGAAAGATTTTTCAAAGAATAGCCTAAGTACATTCCTTTTCATTATTTTCTTCATTTTTTTTTGTTATTGCACCTGTCTAATGTCCTATGTAACTTTATGTCTGAATGTTTGTACAAAATTTTCAATAAAGTTGTATTAAAAAAAGTGTTTCTTATAATAAAAAATATTTTTTTTATGAATTTCAAAAGATATTTCATAACAAAAACAGCAAGTCGTTATGATTTATAGCTTTATCTACGAGATAAACATGGGCGTTTCCTGTCATTTATTTCCAACAAATGTTTTTAATATCCAAAAAATATTAGATTGTCCCTGTTCAAATTTACGGGATGCGTCCTTAGAAGACCAGATTCAAAGGACAATTACTTCATAGCGCGGCGCCTAGGTCTGTCGGATTCCAAGGCTCTGTTCGAATTTATGGGCTGCATCCTCCAAGGACGCGGTCTACCTAGACTGGGTCCTTCGAAGTCCTTGAAAATAAGGAGACCGGAAGAGTTTTGGCTGTGAATTCAAACAGGTCTACCCTTCGGTGGGTTTTACCGCCATAGGCTATGTTGCTTAGCAACCGTGGACACAAAAAGGAGGATAAGAATGAATACCGAAGTTTTCAAAACTGTTTGTTTATTTCTTTCATTTTTATTGAGTGGAATAAAGGTGCCAACGCCAACCACCGGGAACAGGAACAACTAAAAGCAAATGTAATGATAGAAACCTTAGTCAGTTAAATAACATCATCACTGTAAAAATGTCCATAGCTGCATATTGGTTATTTATTATCCAGGTGCACAGTTTTATATTGTTAAAACACTTTACAGGATTTTATTATTTATATTTTAACTCTCCCCTATTATGTTAGTCTTGTACCTTTCATCTTGTATCTTTCTAAGGTCCACATTTGTGTGACCATTATCTATCTATCTATCTATCTATCTATCTATCTATCTATCTATCTATCTATCTATCTATCTATCTATCTATCTATCTGTCTGTCTGTCTGTCTGTCTGTCTGTCTGTCTGTCTGTCTGTCTGTCTGTCTGTCTGTCTATCGATCGATTTTGCCGAGATATTTTAAACATACATTGTTTAGATTTACTTAGTTTTACCTCTTTTATAGAATAGAAAACCTCTTTAAAGTCCCACAATGGGCAAATTAACAGCAGCAGAAAGATTAGAATGGTCACACAAATGTGGACCTTAGAGAAATGTATAAGACTAACATAATAGGGAAGAGTTAAAATATAAATAATAAAATCCTGTAAAGTGTTTTAACAATATAAAACTGTGCACCTGGAGAATAAAAAAACAACAATATCCAGCTATGGACATTTTTACAGTAATGGATATTTGGAAATAGCAGCAACATCAGGGATGTGCAGAATGACAGCAGCATGTTATTTAACTGACTAAGGTTTCTATCATTACATTTGATTTTATTGTTTCCTGCTCCTGGTGGTTGGCACTTGTATTCCACTCAATAAAAAAGAAAGAAAGAAACAAATGGTTTTGAAAATTTCGGTATTCATTATTTTCCTGCTTTGTGTGTCACTGTCACGGTTGCTAAGCAACATAGCCTACGGCGGAAAAACCATCCAAAGGGTAGACCTGTTTGAATTCACAGCCAAAACTCTTCCGGTCTCATTATTTTCACGGACTTCGAAGGATCCAATCTAGGTAGACCGCATCCTTGGAGGATGCAACCCATGAATTCAAACAGAGCCATCGTCTCCTTTTCTGTTAGAGAATAAAAATGGCTCTCAGTATCTTCCAGCAGAGGGCGACATAAACAAACAGAAATAGCTCTTTTTCTATACAGCTATGTAGTATTGTATTGTACAAATTCCTTCTCAATTACAATGACTGCCGTGAGAAAATGTTTTTAGCCGTTAATGAATCTAATCAGCATTCGCTCCTTTCTATCCAACCCAGTGGCGGATCTAGGGGATGGCTCCTTGGGCTGCAGCGCCGGATGTTTCCCCCAGAGCCCCGGATCTCGCCTCTGAGCTGAGCTGAGATTCTGCACATCTCTCCTTCACCATGTGGTATCATTAATGAGAAGAAAGCATTTTGACATTTTACAGATCCAGAGTGATCATTTATCAGTATGCTGTCCACAACCACTGGTCCATGAATCTTGAAGTTCTGATCCGTATGTGTTTTGACTCAGGAGATCCTACGATATCAGAAATAGGGATGACCTTTTCAAACTCTTCCTATTTCATCTACAGCGTGCAGACAGCTTGTAACTCTGCTGCACCTGATTAGCCTGCATCTGCACTTATAGCTATTGAGGCATGTGTTTCCATCCCTTGAAAGTATCTTTCAAAGGTTTAGTGTTGTTAGTCTCTCTGGCAGTTCATGAACAAACATGCTTTTAATAGATGCTAAGAAAATTCTTTGGAAATTGTGTAACATATTCCTGATACGTAATTTCAAAAATGCTTTCTCCTTCCACTCCCTTCAATTATGCCATCACTGTGATTCCCCCTGTGGGTTTGCCGTTGATTTGTCCTCCTCTTCACATTGCAGAACAAATGTATTACATTAAGTTTTCCAGCTTATGTTTTTCCCAGATTCCCCAGAAGCAGTGAACCTTATAGACACCCAGACAGGCTGCTCTTTCTTGCAAAAATAAACTGGAAACAAAGTTAAATAATGTATGTCTCTCTTTGTCAACAATAGACAACCATTATTAGAGGAGCCAACCTTACCTGGTGTTTGCGTTTGGGCTTATGGCAGGATAACCTACTTTAACTTCTGTGGGTAACTAATTTACATCCATAAACACAGCAAACACCATAAATCTACAGATTTTTTTTTTTTTAAGAAGCACCAGTTTCTCTTTAAAAGTCCCACACCTAAATACAGTTTTTGCTGTTTGAGCAGGAAATTTCCTTTCACATTAGCCAGGCAGAGGCCCAATCCCAAACTGGCCTCTAAACACTGACCAACCCTCCGCTTGGGCCGTACCGCAGAGGGTCCGCCACATTAGGTAAGGACTTTCCCAAACCACTTAGTGAGTAGAGTGAGTGGTCCATTCACCCCTTAGATAGCTAGTCTGCATCAGTGGATATTACCAGTGGGTGTAACAGAGAACTATAATGAGGAGGGAACAGTGGCTTTCTAATGCAAGTTCCACTGCTTGCTGCATCTTCATCACAGAAATTCACAGGTTAGGGAGAAGAAAAATATGATTTTTTTTAAAGAAAGGTGCAAATGTTTGATTTCATGTCAACTTCGCACCTCAGACCTACAGCCAGGCACATGGAGTGTCACTGTGCTGCCATCAACATCAGCAGGTTGATAATCGCTCGTTGCCATTAATTTATGTTGTTAAAACAATAATACACATTTTTTTTAATGCCATTGAATATATAAGATAAATCTCACTCCAGTTGACTCATTCCTGCCAGATACGGACAATCCCATTTTTCAAACAATGGCTGAATACCCTAGAAACTCCTGTAGACAACCTTTCAATAAACAAACAAGGGCAACCTGTAGCCATTTAGCCAGGAGTCCATTACAAAAAGAAAGTTTATGGAAAACTAAGTTTACTAAAGCTGAAATCAGGGAGTTTTCCATTTTACAATAGAGTTTCCTCAAGCTGTTTCTTTTGCCGTAGTAACATTCTCCCTAGAGCTAACCTGGTCGGTAGCAGGTTTTGTTCAGTAACTCATAGTGTCCTCTGTCTCCACTCTCTTTAGAGACAATCATGTTGTTTTATTTCCTGAAATAGTCAATAAATTAATAGCTTTCTGCATAATAAAAAAAAAAATCTCTGTTATAGACA